TCAACGAGAAAACAGCCTCAATTCGCACTCGATTTTCCCGTCGAGTCGCCCGTATGGAGTTTAGAGGTATATGTTTCGCCGTTCCTGACGTTGCCGGTGCTGACAGGTTGTCTATCTTACAAGAACACAAATTGAGCCTGTCATCGACGCCATAAACGTCCAAACTCGTTGATGGGTACACTGTCAGCTTGTGGAAGGTATGTACATGTTTACTTTCGTGTCATCATGAGGTCTGACTTCATATTATATCAATTTGCTGATCATGAAGCCGCGTGCGTGCCGTTACAAGACTGGCCACGGTCTAATTCCAAGGTTTACGGGCGTTGCAATGGTTTTGTCTCGCCTACAAACACCGTGTGCATGTGAACGAGCGGCGTGGCTGTGCAATGGCCCGATGTGACTTGGGGCGGTGCGCGTACGTTCTCACTGCACTGTTGTAGTAAACGACGGATCTCATTTGTCGTGCAATGGGCTGTAATGATCGCTGCCCAAAGGAGCATGCCTGGCTCTCGACAGTTCACCGGGAATGCTCGTCTCTCGCGCCTCATCGCCGTGCGCTTCCAGCTCAACCTCCTCATGCACCCCATGCACCTCATCACGCGCGCCGATGCGGAGAGTGCCCGCTTGATCTCATCCACCGTTGGCACGAGGGACCACCCGTTCATACTGGTAATGGGTGTGACATCATGCGACAAGGCGCTCGCGGAGGCAGTTGAAGATGCTGAGGCGTGTGGTGATGGTGCCGCAGAGGTGAGCTGGATCGAGGCCGAGCGGCTCGCGCGCAACAAGCTTGTCACGATGAAAGTGAGTGTCAGCGATCCTGAATCTCGCGTTTTCAGTGCTGACGCGCGCAGTGGTTGAGCGGGATATCCACCGCTCGGCGATCAAGGACGACGCGGCTGTTAAAAGCTACCTTGCTACTGCTGAGGGCAAGTCCAATGCCGACGTGCGCGACATCGCCAAGGACATCCTCGGCGAGCCCGTCTTCTGGGACTGGGACCGTGCGTATCCACTGCGCAGCCAGCCTGCGCGTGCCTGTTCAATGAGGCCTGCGGAAGTCGAGACTCCAAGTTCATGCGCGGCGCGTGACACTGGTCTTCGAATGCCTAACTGTGTATGGCTGAATTGCCGGGGAGCGTGAGCGGTATGTGTTCTACAAACATCGATTTCAGGTTATTGACTTTCTTTATTGATCCTCAGGCCATTCTTGCATGCGGGATGGGTCGCTGCGCTCGACTATGACGCGTGTAAGGATGTGCTAAGCGATAGCTGCATTCCATCGAGAAGGCCTTTCAAGTAAGTCTTTTGTTACCTACAGGGACTGATGTCAGGCTGAACTCGCAGGTCGTTGTCATCAATCCGTTCCCGTGGGCCGTGGCCACGAGCCCAATCGCGCTACGCTGCAGCGGGCTCCCGCAACGATCGTACACGCTAGGCGTTTGCCGGCCATATGCTATGCAATCGATACCGTTCTCAATGAGCGGATAGGTTCGGCGCGTGTTGTACGGTCCCACTGAGATCGTCACATGGAATGTTTTAAGGTAGCCGCTGTCGCCGTTTCTAATCTCAGGGCACTGACGAACTGTTTACCTTGCTAGGAAGGCAAGCCGAGCCCACCATTGACATCATGACTATCCGAATACATTGACGGAGACCCCATTGCTATTGGAATGTACGTATGTATGTGCCAATTTTGTGCCGTTGCGGGGGCTGATTTTATGTTAGCTTCATTTGATGATCATAGAGTCGTTATTGTGTTGCAATGAGACGGGTGACAGTGGCATCCGGCGATTCATCGGCCTTGCAAAGGTCTCAACCCGCCTACGCATGTCCAGCCAATTGGAACATGTGATGTTGCCATGCAACGGTCCCGCGCAAGTTTGAATACGTCCATCGTCCGCGTTCAACCAGGTGTGTATGTTTTTATTATTCTACGGTCTTATCACTCAACTGACCTTATGTTCATTGTACAGTGGGCCTGCAACAATCGCTTCCCAAGGAAACGTTCCCGGTCTCCGACGGCTCATCGACAACGCTCATGCCCGCTCAATGAAGTGCGCAGAAGGCAAGACTCAGAGTTCGCGTGCGGCGCGGGATATTCGTCTTCGAACGTCTAGCTATGTATGGCCGAATTCCTCGGGTGCACGAGTACATGATTAATATACTCCCTACTCTACTTAGTGCTCATCAGTTCACCTCTTCAGCCATCAAGTACGATCGAACGGTCATAGAATGGGTTCATGCATAGCGGGCGCTTAGGGATAGGGAGACAAGGAAGGCCGAGCAGCTATTGTCGTGGATTAGGGACGCATCAGGCAGCATGTTGAGTCATTTGAATGCTTCGTAGTGCAGAATGTAGTAAGAGACTCATCTATTATGAAGGGATGCAGGCCGTCTTACCAGTTCTGCACAGAATGAAGGGCAGACTTGTGTGCTTGTCTACATAGTCCTTACACACAATGAAAGTAAGCTCCATGCTTGCCTTTCTGCTCAAAACAATGTCCCCTCTCCAGCAATCCAGACGGTCCTCTTGCAAGGGGAAACACGCACACACCATCCACTGTCGGGCGCCTGCACGAAGCGCCCGTCCGCATCTTCGGCCTGCCAGACCAGAGCCACACGGGCGTCGAGGTCATCGTCGGGCGTAAGGCGAAATTCCACAACACGGCTGGCACTTGGTCCCCGCTCGAGAGCACCGTCGTCAGCGGCGCGGTCGACCGCGTACTCGTGCATGGCCAGACGGTATTCCTCGATGGCGAAGTCACCGCGCCACCTGCAGGGAGGGACAACTCGAGTGCGACAGTCACACACGCCCCCTCCGAGCGCAGGATGTCGGTCTCAGGGCGCGGCCCCGAGATCCCTGGCGCGCTCGGTGCTGGTGTGGCGATAAAGGCTCCCGAGGCTCCCCCAGCACCGACGCTCGCGCTCGCCCCCTCTGCATCCGTCGCGCCCGTTTTTGGACCGGCGCCCGCACCGCACGTCTTCACGCACCTGATCCCACATCCGGCATACCATCGGAAGCATATTCTGACCGTGAAGCAGCTGACGCACCGTGACGTGCACGAGCTATTTGCGCTCGCGCATGAGATGCAGCTACAAGTTGAGCGGAGTGGGATCCTTGACGTGCTCCGGGGTAAGGTGCTCTGCACTCTATTCTACGAGCCGTCGACTCGGACGCGCTCGTCGTTCGATGCGGCGATGAAGCGGTTGGGCGGCGACGTGGTCAACGTGAACGTGGAGATGAGCTCGGTGCTCAAGGGCGAGAGTCTGCCGGATACGATTAGGACGATGGGGTCCTACGCAGATGCTATCGTGATCCGGCACCC